ACAAACACTTTAACAGTGAAATAAATTCATAGGGCCTACTCCCCTGCATAATTCGACTTACCACACACATTATATCTAACCAGTCCCATCAACTACACACCACAGAAAAACAAGCTCATTACGAATCAACCACGTTACTTGCACACGCTAAACATAAGCCCACCTGTTCGCCTTAAAACGTAAACAAATCACACATGTGTAACTAGATCAACACACGGCTAAATTTAACTGATCAAATGATGCTGTAAAAATGATAGTATTCAAAGCAGCGCTAGATACACACTGTGTATGAATATATCAAGTTAAATTAGAATCTAAATTAATCTTAATTTAAATAACATTATATTTTGCCATTAGGCCTATAATTTGTATTCATAGCTACTTTTATAACTACGTCGTAATTATAGGGCCTAACAATTATAAATGTCAATTAATGTATAATTTAAATATGTCTAGGTATTAAAACCATTTACGTAGCTTAATTGTAGTAAATTTAAGTTTAAACATACCTGCTATGTCTTGTAAGTTGTAAATCTAAGAGACTATTTCTACCATCTTCACATTTTAAAGTACAGGCTCACGTTTCTACATCGGCATATGGCGACCTAGCGCAGTAGAATACCGAACCGGATTTTTTCGCAATGTTGACACACCGGGCGAATACCACCTCCGCACCAGATAGGTCGGCTAAAAATAACTCGATGAATCATCGGGATTCCCCGATCGTTACAAGCTGGTCCACGGCTCTATAAGGGCGCATTCAATAATATTGCGCGCGGTTTTCTTTATCTTTTTCACTTTTTTAAACAGGAATATATTATAGCCTACTTGGGTGGTAATACTTTTAGAAAAAATAATTTTCATCGATAAATAATATGTATGTGTATATATATATATATATATATATATATATATATATATATATATATATATATATATATATATATATATATATATTATATATATATATATGTATGTATGTATGTATGTATGTATGTATGTATGTATGTATGTATAGGCTTATGTATTATTAAATCAATCGAGTGTAGAGCAAAAAATCATCAGAAACCATAGGCCTCAAATTCTGTTCGCGGACTCAACCCTATTGGACATCCGTGAGTCTGCTCAGCTCTGATGAGTACCTGACCCAAATTAGGAGAATCAAAGTTGACTGTACAAACCAAATAACACGTTTTATAAATCCGGATCAATCTTTGCGATCCCTTGAGGTGAATGCAAAATCTTGGTAACATGGGGTTTACGTAAGAAAAGTGCTCGATTCTTTACAATATCCCACTCTAGATATTGAGTGATAGCATGAGCAAGTATGACCGTATCAGAGATAGAGAGAGCCAGTTTTGCCAGACTAAAAGCCACCAATAGCATCCTCCATAAATATTAATTCCATTTCGTTCGGGTGGGGGAGGGGGGGTGGTAGGACTGTCTTTAGGTGGGGGGGGGGGACGCCTAGAAGACACACTGCAACTCATATTTATTGTGTTATCGTCAGTTTCTTTCAGACATCTCTCCACCTCGATCGGAATAGAATTTATATAGAAAATATATACGTTTACCAGTGTCCCCCACCCCCGGAAAATTTAGTCCGGCCCCGGAAAATTTCAAGTGTCCCCCCCCCCTCCTCCCAAATCCCCCCACCGGAGAAAAAAGTCTGAAAGAAACACTGGTTATCATTTAAGTACCCTTGCCGTGGGCAGCTTTGTTTGCCGTTTTTTTTTTTTTTTTTTTTTTTTTTTTTTTTTTTTTTTTTTTTGCTGGTGTGAGGCTAATCAGTGTTTATTATGTGTAGAACTTTAGTCTTTACTCTGTCGAATTCAAGTTTTTTTTTTATTTTTTTATTTTTGGGTGCTTGATATCGACACTATGGGACCGCGTATCCTAGCGTTTGAAGAGCTAGACTGCTAACCCGAAAGTCTCGAGTTCGAATCCGGGGTCAAGTCAGTAGAATCTCCCAGATTCCACCCAGCTCTGATGTGTACCTAACTCACGTTAGGGAAAAACGAAGGCGGCTGGGCATAGTGCTGACCATATTATTTCTTAATAATATGCGGAGGTTTCTGAAACAGATGGACTCTACTTGATCTGCCTAATGTGTCTTGGGCACGAACGAATAGTGATGATGATGATATCGACCCGAATAAGGATACGACTTGTGTAAAACCCGTTATTGTTTGGAAATAATAAATCTGGTGCCACATCAGATCAACAGAATAGTCTTGATTGTGCGCAGGGTCGAATGGTACAGCTTACGACTACTAATTCAAAAGTTTCGAGTTCGGATCCCGGGCTCAATTTTGTAGGACGTTCCTAAGTCCACCCAGCTCTAATGGGTACCTGACCAACGTTAGAGAAACCAAGGTAGCTGAGCGTAGTGCTGACAACACTATCCCCGTGTATGGCCAGGTCAGGTAAACAGATGAACTCTACTTCACCTGCCGCATAAGTCTTTGGATCAAATGGGGGAAAAAGATAATGAATTTAAATAAATAATTAAAGCTTGCATACATCACTTTTAAAATTAATTAAAATAAATTGTAAAAAAAAAACAACACTTTAAATAAAAAGTTGTTTTTTTTATAATTTTCATACCAACGTTATCACATTTTATATCTAGAACGAAAACGTGTGATATTTCTATACTGTAAGCATTATTTTCGCGCATGACTTTTAAAATCTCTAAACAGTGAAGACCGGCATCTCGCAGACGAACCTTCTCAGAGCACCACAGTTGCCGTCATTTAACGGTTGGCACCCCATGCAGTAGTAGGCACAGTTCTCATTGCCTAGGTAGTTGTCGGGCTGGTCTGGGAATATTTTGGTACAAATTCAGTTGTGGTGAGTTGTATTAAAAAGGTTGTTGTTTTTGTTTTCTTGTTTAAAATAAAAGTAAAACAATGAAATAGTTTTAAGTATAACTCTTTTTGGTTAAGACGTGTTATGAAACGTTTAAAAAAACCTAAAGCTAAACATGAAAATATATGTAGGTAATATTGTAAAATAAAGACGGAGTGGCCTAGCGGTAGAAAGCTAACCCGTAAGTCTCGAGTTCGAATCCGGGTTCAAGTCAAAAGACTATCCTTGAGTCCACCCAGCTCTGATGGGTACCTAACTCATGTTAGTAAAAATAAAGACGGCTGGGCATAGTACTGACTACTCTATCATAGGCCAATATCACAGAAAACGGTTTACTCTACTTCACTTGCCCCATAGATCGTCATGTTTGGAAGAGGTACTTTACTTCAATATTGTAAAATAAGTAATCTCATTAAATTATATATAAAAAAAAAATTTAGAAAATTAAAATTGGCGTTTAAATGAAATAAATCTTGATCAAAGATATCTCTACACTGTTATTTATCTCATAGTATTACTAGGATCTCATTTCTAAAAAAACTAATTACACTCTGTTCGATATTTCTTTAGACCTTTCACTTACCTAATACTTCAGAAAGTTGTTACGTGGTAAGTCATATAAATATTATATAAACACTTTTTATTAAATAGCATGAAATGTTGATTTTAGATTATTTGCGAAACTACAAAGAAATGTATACTTCTACTCAGAGCTGCACATATATTTACATGTAATAAAAAGTGTAGTATATATTACTGACTTGTACAGAAGATTGTAGTTCTCCAGCCTAGAGGTAGTATAGACCCGTCATCCACCCATCTAAACACGTTCTCCTGTACAATATCATCCAGTCCTACCCACAAGTCTACTGCTAGGGTCGTTGCGATGGCAGAAATAATATTCAACTTTTCTCGAGTCTTTACGGTATACATGTAACCCCCATAATCTGAGACGCAACATAATACATGGATAATACATTAAAGTATGAAATAATGTCACACATAATATAAATATTTAAATTCAAAATTTAAGGAATTGATTAATTAATTAATTAATTAGTGCCGTCACCTTGACAGGTTTGTCTGGCCGTTGTGTAATTGACCAGATCACGTGATACCCGTACACAGACCTTGACCTGACCGTTCTGCTGCAGGGTGAAGTTGGCCGCTGGGTTACACGGCAAGGTGGTCGTGTAGGTGTTGATCACGTGGGGGGTGGGGGGTGCTGGTCGGCATCGGCCAGGCACCTGCAACACGTATGGTGTTAGTGATTATAGACCTGGAGTGGGCAGTCAAAAGTATAGCAGCGAATATTATACATATATACTACATATATGTTAGAATAATTTATATGCTTTATATTTAGATACTTGCATATACGCAGAGGCGTAGCGACCCTTCCCGGCGCCCGGGGACAAACTTTTCGATTTGCACCCCCCCCCCCCCTCGAGATTCTGATTTGCACCCCCCCCCTCAAACTTTCAATTTGCACCCCCCTCAACCTTTCAATTTATTACTCCAACCCATTTTGGCGCCCCCTAAGCTCGGCGCCCGGGGACATATGTCCCCCCCCCACGCCCCTCCCCTCGCTACGCTACTGCATATACGATGCTAAAAAAGTGATATTAAGAATAATAAGAAGAAGAAGAGTAAATGTCTGTAATTGCATCTTTCTAAGCTAACATTTGTATACGAAGTTGCAAATATGACCGAGGTCTTTTTTTTTTTTTTTTTTTTTTTTTTTGCCGGAGCCATTAAAAATAAAAGTTCCCATCTGGAACCTGACGGTCCTGGAGCAAGGGAAGTAGAGTTTACCTGTTTCTGTGACCTACGAAGGGAGAGTGAGTTAGATACCTATCAGAGCTGGGAAGACTCAAAGGTTGCTCTACTCTCTATAACACAAATACGAACTCGAGATTTTAGAGTTAGCACTGTATCTCTTATCTTCTAGGCCATTCCACGTCGAAGTCACAATCTACTGTAAAACACGCATCTGATACTTACCTAGCCGACACAGTTGTAAGGTGTCTATGTAGATAAAGGTAAAACACAGGTTGTACTGTAGGAGACAGGCCCTGGCACAAGCTAAGCTGCTGCTCCCGTTAATCTCCACACCAAGTGGGAGGAAGCGGACGTTCAAGTTTTTCAGTACAACAAATTGGTTGGTCTGTGATTTACATGTACTGATACCTGCAAGAGAAACGGCAAGATGAATACAGTTTTATTATTGTAACTTAAAATAATACGGTACATATTAAAGATGAAGCTACATAGTATTATCATGTATAACACAAAGTACTAAATTATCTATACATATAAACAAGTCATTTTTTGATATGCTGTAAAATGCGGAATAGAAAATCATGCATTAGTGCGTTATATAATTTATTTTTAAGTCGATAATTTAAAGTAGTTAAAAAAAGAAATCTGACAGGTACATTGCAGCATAATACAGAATTGAACCAAGATTTGAACTCAAGACTTTAACCGATGCTCCCTTCCCTTCCCACCACCACCCCCCTCCCCCTTAAAGTTAAATTTTCAAAAGCATCGCCCTCCTGAGAAAAAGTTTGAATGACACCTGATTATTTTCTATATGTTAACAATATAATCGCAACAAAGTCTATGATTTTACCCTGTAAAATACACGAATTCTGATGGTTGACAGTTGTTTTCTTTCAATTTATTAATAGTGTAATACACCAAATGTAATAGGCTACTTACCAACAAGTAGGAAAGAGAAAGCAATGTAGCAAATTATTGTCATCATTTAGAGTAGGTCTGCAAATAAAACCGTTCCTATTGTATACACACTAGACAATGTGCAGTAAAATGTAAATATGTATTATATATATATATATACATATATATATATATATACATATATATATATATACTATATATATATATATATTATATATATATATATATAACATTAGTAAACACATGCAATAGCACAATGAAATACAATCCGCCCTGTTTAAATAAACGTCAATTCGCTTAGATGGAGAATTGATCTCATACCGTGGTACTTACATATAATGCAGCCTACATAGATTCTAGATTCTAGATGCTATCTACAGCCTACCACACTTGCCATCTGATTGTAATCAAAGAATGGTCGCTGCCGTTGGGGCTGATTAATGTATTTGTATATTTATGAACGCTAGATTCAGAATAGTTACAAGCTAGCACTGGTAAATTTATAACATGAAACAAGACGTTATGTATTGATTAAGAATCCCGTATACAATTAGTTAAAACATGTTTGGTCGAAAGTTCTTTAATATTGCACATTCATTGTGTCCGTTCATTGTCTTTGGGGTCAATTATTTATTTGTTTTTCAAGATTATTCAAAGATAGCAGTGTAATACTAGTGAGAAGTGTGAATGATACTTTTGTCAAAGTATGTAGGCCTGTGAAAGGAGATAATGTATAGGGGATATTGATAGAACTCAAGTGATATTCACGATATGTAACTACGATCCCCCTAGTTTGTTTGTTTTTAAATCTCAATGTATAACCAGAAAATGTTTTGCATTGTGGGACATTGAGCTCAAAAGTATAGTTATGACTGGGAGTGGGGGGGGGGGGGGGGGAGTTAATACATGAAAAGTCAGAGGAAATGCTTAGGATGGGGGATATTCATAACTTATATTACCGATAGATGCAATTTTTTAAGACCAATGTTTTTGGAACCCTCGAAATAAAATATAACTCACACACACAGCGTTCTTTAATCTTTGGTCCAAAAATCCACATTTTTGGTCAAAAGTTGATATTTCTGGTCGAAAATTTATATTAAAACGTGTTTTTTAGTATACGATCTAACTTTAAAAATATCATAATTGGATCGTTTCATTTATTCAGTTATTTCACTAAAATATGTTACCCTTCAGAAACTGTTGATTAATGAAGTAGAGTCCCCCTGTTTGACGAATAATCGCACGCAAAGTCTGAGAGTTGTATTTGGTTAATTTAAGTGGAAGAATTCCAACGTATTGAGCTCCAATCGTTGCCTGTAAATTCCGTAGGATCTCTTTGAGGCAATTAAAATGAGATTGGTAAGTAAAGGCGCCTTGCCATGATGCTGATCCTTTTAAATATAACATTTCTTTCTCATATCCTAACTAGAGTTTGCGTTTATCAACAATTACAAAACAATATAATTAATAATTATAATTCATACGAAAACCGTCTAAATTCAAAGCACTATCTAACTCCTCCAACTTGTGTTTATACTTATCAACAATATTTAAACACTAAACAATCTGCAATCAGTGTTTCTTCCAGACTTTTTTCTCGGGGGGGGGGGGGGCACTTGAAATTTTCGGGGGGGGGGGGGGGGGGTGGTAGACTTTCCTCGAGGGGGGGGGGGGAGGACACTGTTAAAAGTATATATTTTCTATACAAATTTCATTTCGTCCGGGAGGCGGGGGGGGGGGGGGGGGGCGGTAGACTTTCTTCGGGGGGAGGGGGGTGGGGGGGGGGGGCTCCTCGCCTGGAAGAAACTCTGCAATCAATAATGACAATGCGGAAGACAAATCTCGCGTCTAAGAAGTATTGACTTGACAGTTCTGTTTGTACTCATTAAATTAACATCAAATCAATCTATGACAATAATCGTGATTAAGCATTCTGACTAGCAGAAAGATCCGCGATTCGTGTGTAGTGAACGCAATTTAAAGACAAATGGGCATTAATTTTTCTTGGTGTCATTAAATCGTTAATGTTTATACTACAATTTAATGTCTTGTTCATTCAAGCGCGATAGCTTCAGCTCGTGTTCAATTCCATTTAATTTTGTAACTGTTTTCTTTTCGTTTTGAACGCCCAGCCAGGTCATTGGTAGCTCAAGATTAGTTACTGATATAGTATGCGCTAGTAACAACCGATTTCAATCAGGTTTGTGGAGGGAAGCTTGAAGTAGAACAAGTGTTGTTTATTTTTTAGCTGTTTCAAAATCGGAGCATTTTAAATGTGTAGTGCTCAAATTATACGGAAAGAATCAATGTTTTGTTGGGAGCTTTAAGTTTACCACTTTAGGAAATCGATGGTCACTCAAAAGTTTGAAGAAATCTAAGTATAAGATATTTTTACTTATATATGAAATTTCGTATACCTAAATGAAAGACTTATCAATTTACCTCTGCAATAGTATAAAGTACCACTTCCGGGTACCTTAAATGTATCAAAATCTGATAGAAACGTGCGCATACATTGCAACACTATAAACCTAAGACACGCTACCTGAACGCTACGACACAATGACTGAACCCTGCGACACAATGCCGAACCTTGAAACAGTGTCTGAACCCTACGACACAATGTCGGAACCCTGCAACACAATGTCTGAACCCTGCGACACAATGCCGAACCTTAAAACAGTGTCTGAACCCTACGACACAATGTCTGAACCCTGCAACACAATGACTGAACCCTGCGACACAATGCCGAACCTTAAAACAGTGTCTGAACCCTACGACACAATGTCTGGACCCTGCAACACAATGACTGAACGCTGCAACACAATGACTGAACCCTGCAACACAATGACTGAACCCTGCGGCATACTCTGAACCCTGCAACACAATGACTGAACCCTGCGACACAATAACTGAACCCTGCGGCATAATGCCGAACCTTAAAACTGTGTCTGAACCCTACGACACAATGTCTGAATCCTGAAACACAATGCCTGAACCCTGAAACACAATGCCTGAACCCTGAAACACAATGCCTGAACCCTGAAACACAATGCCTGAACCCTGGGAAACAATGCCTGAACCCTGAAACACACTGCCTGAACCCTGGGAAACAATGCCTGAACCCTGAAACACACTGCCTGAACCCTGTGAAACAATGCCTGAACCCTGAAACACACTGCCTGAACCCTGTGAAACAATGTCTGAACCCTGAAGCACAATCCCGGAACCCTGGGAAACAATACCTAAACTATGCGACACTAAGCTCTAACCCTTCGACACAATGCCTGAACCCTGAAACACAATGACTGAACCCTGGAAAACAATGACTGAACCCTGGAAAACAATGCCTTAACCAAACCAACTGAGACGGAAATGACAGGCAACATTGCAGACATTTTAACGTCAACGGAGTACATTTTAAATTATTGAATGGTTGTGTTGAACCTAGGCACTAAATTACAGACAGTTTGAACGAACAAGCAAACGAAACAGAGACTGCTCATTTATTCTTTTAATGTTGTTTACAACGATAGTTAGATTCTACAGTATTTAATGAAAACATGAATTAGAGATCAGGGTACTGTAAAGAGATTAAATTATTGAAAGTTAATGGTGATTCGCGGTTGCCTTTAAACGCAAACTGTTTTCATTTTTATTTGGTTTAGGCTGTTCGACTTGTAGGCATTTTTAGGTGTCAGTCATAGAGTTTCCTTGCTGGGTGGCTGTCTTAAGATTGGTGTCATTTATTTCAACACCAGTTGTTATCTTTCAAAGCCTATATACTGAAATGGTGTTTCTTATCATTTTGATCTTGGCTCTCACGGGTAAGAAGTGCATTTACATTGTGTATTCTGTTGTGAGCTACTTAAAAATGGCATTTTAAAAATAGCTTCCCTTCGTATTCGCTTAATATGTATGTATATGTATATATATATATATATATATATATATATATATATATATATATATATATATATATATATATATATTAGGCTATATATCTGAGTCCACGCAGCTCTGATTGGCACAAGATTGAGATTAGGAAAATTAAACAGGACTAGACAGTGCTAATTACACTACCTTTTCAAATGCAGAGTTCAATTAAACAAGTGAACTCTACTTCACCCACTTCACTCTTTATCAGGGTAATTTACTTACTTAAATTTGTATTGTTCTTGGGCATATTATACTTCCATGTATTCAAGGCCCCCCTCTTTGCAAGATCTTCTGTCGAACACTTTGATCCACTCAAATATCATCAAACAATGAGCGCATGTCGATGAATGATCATATCTAGTACAGGAATGACAGTTTTAAAGTTTGAATTAACGTAAGCTCATGAGAAGATGAAAACGCGACGTCGTGGTCTTATGGTAGACTGCATGACGGCTATTCCGAAAATCCTACGACCTCGAGTCCATACGATGTTCATTAGTTATCCAAGTCTTCTGTTTTACGTTAGTCAGGGTTAACGCTTGTTGCATAGTGCCAACCACACTGTTCCTTCATATACAAAAATATATAAACATGGCTAACATACATTGATGTGATAATCATTCTTTGTACAATTGTAAAATACATTTAATGATACAGATGGGACACTGGCTGAAGCAAAACTTTCTAACTACACGTTAGTCGACAGCACTGGCGTGGTCATGCTGACAATGGGGGACACACGCAGGTCACGTGATGAGGTAGACTGTGCCATACAGTGTTCACTGAACCAAAACTGCAACAACTTCATGTATGATGGGACAAGTGGTATTTGTACTCTGGGTAAATATTAAAATATTATCCAAATATACACCGGCATTCACATTCATATAGCCGTACCTGCAACCAGACAGCAAATTATATCCGCATCCACATCAACGTCAACATCGACATTGACGTCAATATCCACATCCACATTACGCATTACACATCCACATCAATATTAACTTCAACATCCACATACATACATACATATATATCCACATCCACATTAACGTTAACATCTTCATCCACATTACACATCCACATCAATATTAACTTCAACATCCACATACATACATATATATCCACATCCACATTGACGTTAACATCCTCATCCACATTACACATACACATCCACATTAACGTTAACTTCCTCACCCACTTCCAATTCCTCATCCACATCCATCGTTCGTAAAAGTACTCTTTATATTGACTGCCCAGCACATAAATGCTTCCCATAATCTGTCGCATCAGGCATTTTAATGCATATCTTGCATATGTAGCAAAGACGTAATCTCTTTTTAACAAAATGATTATTATCTGGGTGAACCAATACTTTCCAGATATATAGTAATTGAAAAGATAAAATTTGAAACTTAAAATAAATTGGCAAACATTTTATGGTTCTGTTTGAACGCGATCTTCTGTAAAAAAATATTATATATGTATTTCCATTTTGGTCCGAAACTTTCTGTTTGTATGCTGTTTTTAACTTTGTGTATATCTAGGTCAATGGATTCTTCCGGACAACACAACAAGCACATCAGTCGCGAGACCAACAGCACACAGCAAACTGTACACAGCAACCGTGTATTGTGGCGCTACAATCGCCACGAGTAATGGCGTCAAGGATGCATGCGACGCTTCGGCGTGTCAAGGTCTATAGATGTGTTCCTTACCTTATCAGTTACACGTTGTGTGTTTTGTTTTTTAAATTAAAACTAATTAAATTGTTGTTGATAGTAAATAATCCTCTTTAGATCTACCGATCAATTGGGCATATGAATTCTTCTTCTTCTTCTTCGTTCTTAATTTTTAGTGTTGGGAGGGATCGAGCCTTATGTGCCAGAGGGTTTGAACTCGAGACTTTGGCATATGAATTAGAGTTCATATGTTTCTTGACCTCTACTAACTTGGACCTCGATTCGAACTCGAGATTTTCTGGTAAGCAGCAGAGTTTCTTCCAAGCATCTCTTTGAGGGGGCCTGGTCCCCCCCCCCCCCGCCGAAGAAAGTCTACACTCCCCCCCCCCCCCCCCCGCCCCCGAACGAAATTGAATTTATATAGAAAACCTATACTTTTACCAGTGTCCGCTCCTCCCTCCCCGGAAAATGTTGTCAGCCACCCCCCACCACACCCCCCTAAAATATTATGTCTCCCCCCCCCCCCCGAGAAAAAGGTCTGGTAGAAACACTGGTTAGCAGTCTAGCGCTCTACCGCTTAGCGTCACAACGTCCCATTAATTTATGTTCGTAAATTATTCTTAAACTTATTTTTTCTGTAAACTTTTTATATTCTTTATGTTTAGTTTTTTTTTAATTCTTTGAAAATATATACGTCTATGCATCCTTTTATTTTCGCACCCAACAGAACAAATAAATATCAAGAGAGAAACATCAAGCCTACTTTACAATGCAAGTGCTTACACATCATGCCTTGATGTTAAGAACTCCCCCAACCCCAGACAACTCCTAAAACATCCCAACGGTCTTATCGTCATGTGTGACACCGTGACGGACGGAGGGGGCTGGACAATATTCCAGCGTCGCGTCTCCGGTGCCGTAGACTTCTACCGGAACTGGGAAGAATACAAATACGGATTCGGAGACTTCGACGCCGGGGAATTCTACCTCGGTAACGAAAACATCTACTGTCTTACTTCAGAAAAATCCTACGATTTGAGAATTGATATGAGTTTCAACGGATCCAGCTACTTCGCTCAATATTCAAAGTTCCAACTGTATCCAGAGAGTCAGTTTTACAAAATTTCATACGATGAGTACTCAGGAAATGCAGGGGATTACCTACAAACCTCGGATCTCCGTCAGATGTTTAGTACGTATGATAAGGACAACGACATCGACGATACTAGACAGTGTGCAGTGACATTCCACGGTGCGTGGTGGTACTCACGATGTCACATGGCTAACCTCAACGGTCTATGGGGGAGCAAGGAGTATGGTGTGGGTGTACAGTGGGACGGCGTCACAGGCGATGTTGATTCGCTTGACTTCAGCGAAATGAAAATTAGACCGAAATAACAATTGTCTGAAACATTGTAACAAACGTTTTTGTGATGATATCCGTATAATGAATATTAAAGAGGTTTTACGTTGATATACATTATGTATATTTTCATTAAATGGATGCAGTTTTTTATTCTGTAAAAAAATGTTACCTTTTCAGACTTCAGACCTAACAAGTCGAGGTCAGATTATTTATCTTCGTTCTTAATTTTTAGTGTTGGGAGGGATCGAGCCTTATCTGCCAGAGGGTTTGAACTCGAGACTTTTTTCGAATTTGTCAACCATGAGCTTTGCCGACTCGACCATGCTTCCATCACAATTAAGGATTACGTGTCAACTGGTTATGCGCCATTGAGGCCATTGACTCCGATTTCAGCCTGCTTTTCTTTTTGGATTTGCTTCCATAGCCTTTGTCCAACCAAGAACAAACTACAAGGCAGCAGTTGTTTGATTTTGGAGTTGTCTCTCCTAGAAGAGTGGCTGTACCCAGCTAACGAGCCTCATCTGCCCGAGGGTTCGAACTCGAGACTTTAGCAACCATGAGCTTTACTGACTCGACCACGCCGACCCCTAGATTAAGTATAATTCATCTGTTTCTGTGGCCTGGGTATATAAAAGAATAATGTAGCCGGTTATATATCAAGCGGTATATGGGAACACGTGATCAAACGGTAGATCCCATGATCGGTAATCCGATATTCTGGAGTTCGCATCCCAGGTTTGATTCCGTAAGATTTTGATAAGTCCGCCCAGCCTTAATGGAAACATAACTTACATACTGTATAGTCCATAGTGCAGTCATTGTACCCCAAATGAAATACGCTTACTTGTTTTGCACTTTGTTTTATATTATTAGTGCTCATATTCGATATACCATGTATTATTCTTTAAGAGTATTATTGGTTGTTATTTTCAAAGGGTTGCCGGCCTACAGTGGTAGCTTTGCTTTGCTTTGCTGTGTGTGTGTGTGGGGGGGGGGGTGCGTATGCGTATGCGTGCGCGTGCGCGTGTGTGTGCGTGTGCGTGTGTGTGTATGTGTGTGTGTGTATGTGTGTGTGTTCTGTAGTAAATAAACAAATAATACAGACACATACATGTTGATTAACTATTCGGTATATTTACTTATCTATATTTTTATTCACAAATCCTAGGCTCGAATTCGATGCATTATATAATATCATTAAACATTCATTGAAATTTTGGAGTTTCGCATGTTTTAAAAATACATTTTCTTTGAGTGTTTCCTATAAATAAAGTTTTAAAATATTTGGGTTTTTTTTTTAAGTTACACTGTAAATTACAATCCTTTAAAATAATAAAATAACAAACATTTTTTTTTTCAATTGTTAAAAACAATACCTTTACTTTATGGGATTGTCATCATCTACATTAATAACGATATCAACATTTTTACACAAATGCAACAATTACATCTTACTTATAGATTTACCTGAAACGCATCATCATAATTATGATCAAAGAGTAAGCATTGTTTTCATTAAAATAACTAAGTTTTATATAACAAAGTCACACATTTAAGAATATAATTTTAGTAACACAATGATGAAACACTTTTAAAATATTACGTCATACTTCTTGCAGAGGCCTTGTATGCATTTAATTAACTCAGTTTTAGAAATCAAGGTCACACGTTTAAGAAAATCAGATTAGTATCGTGATGATTAACCCTAGATAAAATATAGATATAGATTTAGATATAGATATAGATATAGATATAGATATAGATATAGATATAGATATAGATATAGATATAGATATAGATATAGATATAGATATAGATATAGATATAGATATAGATATAGATATAGATACAGATACATGTACCTGTACATGTACATGTACATGTACAGGTACAGGTACATGTACAGGTACAGGTACAGGTACAGGTACAGGTACAGGTACAGGTACAGGTACAGGTACAGGTACAGGTACAGGTACAGGTACAGGTACAGGTACAGGTACAGGTACAGGTACAGGTACAGGTACATATTTATGTATACTTGTACTTATGTGCAAACGCTTTCGTAGAAGCAATCGATTACCCAAGGAAATACACTCAATTATGTTATTTGTGTAGGGGACAATGAGTTAACTCCCATATTCGGTGTAACGAGTACCAACGCAATTTTAGATTTTTTTTTAGTTTTAAAATAGACAATATTTTCTTCTTCGTTATGAATGCATAAAAAAATTAAAATATCGTTTTTGGACGCTAACAAGAATATGATGTCCCAAGGCCAATAGCAATGATGGTTATTTGAGTATTTAGAAATTTGCAAACGTTTTAATGACTACGTGGTTGAATATGTGACAAAAAGAACGTGACAGCTAGTGCTAATGGATTTGTTTCGTTCAGAGTATTTCAAGTATATTATGACGCCCTGGGTTAATGTGTTTTTAGTGAAACCATCTTTACTTATTCATATCATAATTTTCAGGTTTGACAAGGTGCCATTTAAAGTGTCACTAGATTTCTTTGTTAGTAGGAATTTTGATCACGAAGTGAAAACGGGATTTGTTTTGATCGTGGTTAGGTTTGAGCCAATGTCATCTTGTATATTGTGTGAAACACAAATTTAGACATGTTGTTGTACCACAGTCTTTTATTGTTATGTAGGTCGTGAATTTTTAGACTTCGGTAAACAAACGTGACTAAAAGTATTTTATTTTTTCATGTAATAACTTTTTAGTGAAATTAATTTATTTTAAACGGTTTTTAGCAGCTAATCGTGCAAACGTTAGTCGTGTAGGCACGATATTTTGTATGTGCGTGTCTCTATTAAACGTGACACCTTCATAAGACAATTAGAAAAAGATGCTAAAAACTTTTTAAACATTTCTACTGAAAAGCAAAAAGTATATAAGCTAATAATGTGTTAAAGCAATATCTAGTCATTTTATCAGCAAAATATTTTAATTACAGTCATCTTGTATATGGCGCAGAGTATGACTATAAATAGATAAAAACATCGAGATTTGAAGAATGCTGTTTGTAATATCGCTTTGCCTGTCTCTTTGCCTGAGTGAGTATATCTATTTTTAAACATCTACTACATTCTTTTGCGTGTTAATTATAAAATTGTTTAAATTTAGAATTTAGAAAATATTAACAAAATTAACATTTTAAAAATTAAAATAATGCATTAAAAACGTTTAGTAACAATCTTTTATATAATCTATCTATAAATATAAAAAGCAATGTATGTCTGTCTGTGTGTCTGTTTGTCTTTTATGCGTTACTACATCTCTCATCACATCGCTATGAAACTTTGGGAAATTGTTGAGAAAACTCCCGGGGAGGTTTCTGCGCAAAAAACATTTTCAAATTCCAAGGGCGCGATTTGTTTTTTCTCTATATACGATATATAAAAATAAAACTCGGTTGCGGTTTCACTTCGTTCATCCGATTGCCATCAACTTTGGGGAGTTGATTAGAACACTCAAGAAAAGGGTTCTGCAAAACAATCTTTTTTTTAATTTCGTAAGGGCTTCGCCCCGTGAGGGTGCAATTTTTCTCGATATACGGTATATATAAATAACAAAAGTGAATTGCAGTGATACCGTTCACACGATCGCTATCAAACTTTGGGAAGATGTTGAGGATACTTGTGGAAAGGTTTCTGCGCGAAAAGTATTTTCAGATTCGCCCCGGTAGGGCGGCGCGATTTATTTTCTATAAATACTGTTTATAAAAATTAATGTCGATTGCGGTTAGACACAGTTCATCCGATCGTCATGAAACTTTGAGGAGTTGATAAGAACACTGCAGAGAAGGGTGCTGCAAAACAATCTTTTTTTTTAATTTCGCTAGGGCGGCGCCACGAAAGGGTGCGATTTTTAGCTATATACGTTATATTAAAAATAAAAGTCGAATGCGGTCTGACATCGTTCATCCGAGTGCTATAAAACTTTGAGCAGCTGATTATAACACTCCAGGGGAGATTTCTGTAATACCGCGTTTACACTTACGACATTTCTAGAACAAAAAGCCCGCCAAAAGCTTTTTACTTTCTCGTATATACGTAGTATAGAGAAAGTATTGTAATCGTGCAAAAAAAATCGAGATTTTTACAAATCTCGACGTTTTACACCTCACTGATACGGAAAAACATAATTTTGCAATCTTGTCCGTATGTCTGTGTGTGTGTGTGTGTGTGTGTGTCTGTGTGTCCTTGTGTAAACACGATAACTTGAGTACCGTTACTGCTAGGTTGATGAAATTTCATATATAAGTATTTTATCAAAATCGTAGATCCGTATCAACTTTTGAGAGATTTCCGATAACCGGAAGTGGTACTTTTTCTACTTTGAATTTTTCAAAAGCCTATAACTTGAGTACTATTTCAGATAGATAAATGAAATCTCACATGTAAGTAAAAGATCTAATTCTCTACCTTCTGTTACATTTTGAGTAATTTCCGTTGACCGGAAGTAGTAATTTACGCTACTTCCGATTTCTCAAAAAACTAATGTAAATTTTTAAAGTACTAATAATATTGCGCACTATTATGCGCTTTTTTATTTGGCGTTCACTTGGTGTGCAATTAATTTGTCTACGAGATTTTATTCTATTTTTAAAACTTTAAGTATTTAAAATGGATTTAAAATCATGTCTATAGCCCGAGTTCCCATCCCCTGTTATTTTATATAAAAATATTCGAGAAAGTTTAGGGGAGATCACTCCCGGTTTATTTTTATCTGGAACAATTTGCTCCACAGAACATGTATACTTTAGCGTTCACACTTACAGAACATGTTTTAGAACATTTTATAAAACAAGCATGACCTTTGACATGGAGCGTCTGCAATATAGGCCCAGATAACTGTAATCAAAGTAAAAAAAAAAACTTAGTGAGCTCATAGCTTTATTTTTACTTTCTCGTATATACGAAGTATAGAGAAAGTATTGTAATCGTGCACAAAAATCACTTGAAATTTTAACAATTTTCACCGTATTTTAAGTCCTTCATCACATCCGAAGTATAGAGGACTTA